TATTAAAGTTTTTCTTCATTACCCATTTAAGCCGTCTCCAGCCATTATTAGTCTCAAAGTGGGTTCCTCGTCATCGAACACTGAAACTTATATTAGAGAAGGTAGAAAATCTGAGAGAGGATTCAGTGTTTAAGATGTGTCATGAAACACAGAGAAGTGAAGATTGAGAATTACTGTATTTCCTTTTTGAAATTGAAATTAACAGTTTTGATACAGTTTTATTGACATACATTTGTTAATAGTTTAGTTACGTCTTGAATGTAACTGTAAAAGGTTGTGGCATGCACAGTTTGACTTAGCATGAGTGTGTAGGCTAATATGGTTAAAGGTCATTTGCCAAGTATTTGTCTAACTTACCAATTTATCCACTTAATTCTATAGTAGCTAAAAATACCCAAGAGCTTAAAGTCATCAGGAAACTTTACTAACTCAGTATGCCCTTATCACTATCATTAATGTCAATAAGAAAGAGCAAAGGTTCAAGCACTGACCCCTGGGGTACTTACTTCAAGAGTCTAGTATCACTGGACTCCATTACTAACACGTTTTTACTTTCTACCATCTAACTACCCTACAAATCTACTTGACTATTCCTCAACCCCATTTGATTTGATTTTCTCAGCTGATTTTATGTTAGAACTTATCAAAAGCTTTTTTGAAAATCCAAGTACACCATACTGTACACTTTCCTTCATCCAGGTAAAAAATATTCCCTTAAAAATTAACATGTTTGTAAAATAAGTTTTCACACTGGTAAATCTATGTTGGATATTATATTGTATTTCAGTAAATGATTTTGTAAAGCTTCTGTTAGACTAGAATTTTTTCCAATGCAGAACTTAAAAGTAAAACCAATTGGCTTGTAACTTGCATGTACTCTTACAAATTAGAGTACAACATTCGGGTACCTGCCCAATGTCTAATGATTTATTAAAAATGAAAAAGAGGGATCATATATCTGATCTTTTACCCTTCCTTTAAAACACTGGGGAAAATCTTGCTGCTTTATTTTGAAACTTAGTCTTTCTACTTGCCACCAGTGGATTAATATCTACATGATGCAGGTCATTTAAAGCATTTCCCAAAGAATACTCAGGGTCAAGAATATTGTTGATATTATCTTTCGTGAAAAGAAAAAGAAAATTTAGCAGCTTGGCCATATCATAATCTTACAACTGTAATCTTGCCATTAGCATTTTTAAACTGTGTAAGACTTCAGTATGTCAGTTCAAT